TGTAACCTCTGGTGAAAAACACCCAATGAAGGAATGTCTACCATCTTCCAAGATAGGTTGTTCCACTATCATACCATCACTTTCCACCAGGTAATTGATAGCTGGAATCTCCTTTTCAGTAATTTGAATTGATTTATTTGAGTACTATCCTGTGGAACAGTGTTTCTCAAACTGTGCTTCTCCAGATGTTTTGGACTTCAGCTCCCATAATTGCTAACAGTTGGTAAGCTCGCTAAATTTTCTGGGACCTGAAGTCCAAGACACCTGGAGGAACAGAGTTTGAGAAAAACTGCTGTAGAGCATCAGAAAACAAGCTCATTCCAATATTCTTGTAACAATCTGATATTTGAAGATATCATTTGTATCATCTCCCTCAACCACTCTTCATAGGACATTTTGTCAACTTGAGCATCCTCTTCTAGTCACATTGCAGTTTATTAATGTCATCCTTAGACACACAGGTACAAATCAGAATAGAGCATTATTAGAGTATTGTTGTAGTTATTATTGTTTCTAATTTTACTTCTATCCTGTCTTCTTCCCCATAGGGACTCAAGGCGACTAAGAAATATAACATGCCTATTAAAAATTTAAAATAAGACAGATACAAAAAATTAAAAACAATTAGACATTTATGGGTAGAAACAGAAGTTAAAATACAGTTAAAATACAAAAATAGAGTAGTACTAGAACTTCAGTTGGTGTAAACACTATAGTTCTGTTGATGCAGCCTAGTATTGTGTTCCCTTTTCCACATAGTCCCCTATATATAGACAATTTTTTTGCATTGTGAAAATAAATCATACAATTGTTCTGACAATAGTACTGATAGGAAAATGTGACCAAGGGAAATAAGGCACAGAGTTAGAAGTGAGGATTGATTATAGAAAGGTGATATAAATGAGTAAATGTTCATCACTTGTACCCTACCCCCCCCCTCCCACACACACACGTGGATTCAGGAAGCAACATGGATGTTACATCCCACAGCATGGGAAAGAGTAAAAAAATGTATATACAAATTTATTTTGTAGTGTAGGTATGAAAGCAGTCTTGGGACCTCATCAGATGGCCCTTTGTAAAGTGGGGGGCACCAGAGAAAATCATGGGGCAGCATAGGGAACCATTATGCTGTGTTTCCTACTGTCGGGGTCCATGTTATCCCTTCTCACCATGTTTCCCCTTTGTCCCCTACCTCCTCTTCAGCTCCTCTGGCTTTTTTCTATGATGCTACAGGTACAGAGTCCCTGCAATATGTGATGAGGTCCAGAGGACTCCGTGCTGCAGCAGAGAGAAGTGGGAAGATGATTATCTCCCTGCATAGATTGAGGTTGTTGAAGACTATTTCCCCATTAACCCAGTCTAGAACCTTTGGTCAAAGCTGGGGTTATAGACAATTCAACTATAACTCCCATGTGGTTTGGGAAAGTTCTAACCATGTGGGTTAAAATAAATCAGGACCACAGATTTTGATCCGTTTTTAGCTTTTGACCTCCTTTTAAACATTATTTCTTTGTATACAGAGGCCTGTTTGAGATGGCTTTTACTGCCCTTCGAATCTTCTGATAAGAGTTTTGCTTCAGCTTTACTTTAGTGAATTGTTGACAAGATGATGGTAAAAATAGAAAAAATAATAACTTCTAATCAGTTCTCTTTATTATTAAGGAGAATGCAATTAAGAGTTTCTGCAGAAGCAGGGATTAGATCCTGAGTTTAGGTATTGGTGCCTAGCAACAAGCTAAAGGCATTTCTGTTACAATTGATTCTAAAACCTGAAGGTAATTCTCTAAATGTAAGTATATTCCAGCATATACTATATTATGTTATGAACCTGAATTATTAAGAATAGCAGTCTTTGTCCCTTATGCCTTTTAGTCTGGTTTTTTTCCTGGGCAAAGCAACCAATTTGATTTTGGTTGATCAACTATAAATGTGAACATAGAGCATTTCTCAAGGTGCATTCACTAATGTGCATTGAAAAATGTATCATGTTTTTAAAGGTTTCAGGTGATAATTTTCATTTTGTTAAACTATTATTTGCATAATTGGGGCAATAGGAGAGATTGGGATTTATCTGAAACAGAGGGTTTTTTTTTTAGCTTAGAATGCTATTTTTAAAAAAGTATTTATTTGTTTTTAAAGTGTGTGCATGTGTGTGTATGGAAAAAAGAATCTTGTTACCTATATTCATTATTTAAAGAATAACATTTGAAAATATTGAACAAAATCATTACTTTTAATTGTTGTTCTTGGGGTTTTGGTTTTTTTTTTAGAAAAAAATACTACAAAATTCTGAAGTGACCAAAATTCTCTAAAATTATTTTCCCAAATCTAGTATTTTATCAATGTTTCACAAAATGCCATAGTTATATTCACTAACCTCTCTTTGAATGTTGATGGCAATGTAACATGTTGCTTCCAAGCTGTGTTCTGTACATACAAAACTGAATATCTGACCATAAGAAAAATCATAGCAGGGTTTTATTTTAGCATGTATCTGGGGGAAAAAATTCATGTTTCAGCTTTCTTATATAAAGTAAACAAAGAGCTACTCAGATAGAGCTAAACTTAAAAATAATGGTTGATTGACAGTATTGCTTTTTTGTTTTTTTTCTTCTTCCATTTTTGGTTTTATTGATTTGTTATGTTTTGCCATAAGCAGTGCTTTTTACAAGTTGGAGATAAAGTGTGCAGTTGGAAAACCCATGTTTTATAGTTGCAAAAATGGGAGGGATTCTACACATTCTGTTTATGAAATGTTAATTAAGCACTTACATGATAGGAAATGTATGCACAATAAATTTGGCACCCAGTGTCAAAGCAAACGCCTGCACCTTATTCAAATACTTTGTTCTTCTCAGATCCTTCTTCTTTTCACATTCACCATGGATTGCAGTGTAAAATGTTTTAGTTGTAAGGAGTACTTGAATGAGTGTTATCAGGCAATCTTAATGAAATAGAAGAAACTCAGTTTTGGAGAGGTACCAGTTTTGGCACTGCAAAATTGATGAAGCTGTGAGAATGGCACTTGTATTGGTGTGTTAGTTGGCATTTATATCAGTCCATGAACATTTTGATTGCTGTATTAGTTAATGAATTAAGAGCAATTCATAGATTAATCATTGCTGTGAAGTAGATTAAAAAACGCTTCTGATACAGAATATAAGCAAAGAGGAACGTATGTGTTGTGTTCATTTGATTTCTTCTGCACATTTGTGGTGTCTGAAAGGGAATTTGTGCAGTCGGAATATATGGTTTTGTTTTGCTTGTTTGTTTTAAATCCCACATCATATGGCTTTTAGAACCCTGCTTAGACAGGCGTAGTTCCTTAAAAATGCAGAGTTTACATTTTTCTAAGCTCTTTTGGATTAGATTTCTCTTTATACTTTCAACCACCATGGATAAGTTTCCTTCTCTCTGGTGTTTCATCCCTCCAGAACAGCTTCTTTTTCACCCCTTTCATTTAAAGCAAAATAATTCACGTAAAAGTATTGATAACAGAAAGGGTTATTAGATTAATATGCTATGCCACATTTGTTGTGGTGTGCCCTTAAGTCATTTTTGATTTATGGCAATAGTAAGGTGAGCCTGTCACAAGGTTTTCTGAAGTTGAGAGTGTGCAACTTTGTTGGGTGAGTGGCCTTATTAACGATAGACCTTCCCCTTAAATGTACAGCAAGGTAATTTATGAGCAGCAGCATGACCCAGCACCAGTACCCAAAAGTGATAAAAAGAACAAAAATACAGAGACCAATGTTATCTCTTCCATAAGAGGCTTTTCTTTATATCAAAATAATATGGTTGCACTTTTTACAAGAACAAGGTTGCCATAACATGAACAAAGTTATTTACACTTCCTTATTTGCTTCTTTCTCATTCAGGTAAACAGCTTTGCTTTCACGGAGCCTCTTCTTACACCAAAGTTACACAGGAGCTTCATACAGTAGCGTTTTACACACAGCCTTCACACTGAATCTTCAGACACAATGGCTTTCAACCTGGGGCTTCCTTTCATTGAAGCTTCTTACACCAGGCCTTCTCATTCTGAGGCCTACTAACACTGAGGCCTACCAAACACTGAGGCCTTTCTCACACTGAGTCTCTCAGACTGACACCTCTTTCACACTGAGGCAAACTAACACAGAGGCCTTCTCATACTGAGGCCTACAAACACACTGAGGCCCTTCTCCCACAGAAACCTCTCACAGACTGAGGGCTACCTCAAACCGAAGGCTACTAAACTACAGACACACCTGCTTATATAGAACTACAGCTTTTGCTGAGTCATTGCATCCATTTAATCCTTTCAGTGCTTGACTCACATTTTTGTAATTAAAAACAACTAGTTAATTTTTTAATATTTCTGACAAACTTGTCCAGGGTTAGCCAGTGAGTTTCCGTGACTGAGAGGGAACTTGTACCTTGGTCTTCAGAGCTGTAGTCCAACACTTAAATGGCTGTACTATGCTAAAATTATACTGTTGTAGCTCCCTACAGAAATATTTGATAAAGGACTGCTTGTTTTTGTTACTCACTTTAGATTCTTTAACATGATTATGGTAACTATCTGATTTATATTCATTTAAAAGATTCAAAATTGAAAATAGACTTTATTTCTAAATGTTATCGCCATGTACTAATCAATGGCTAGGTAAATACACATGGATAGCTCTGGCAGAAAAATAAACATTACATGCCTTTCCTTTCTTTAGATCAAACTTTAAAGAACAAAAGGAGATAGATACTTTTCTGTTCTTTAATGGCGTCTTTAATTTGCTATACAGGTCAGCTGTATAAGCTCTGCAAAATTAATGTATAGACGTAAAATAAAACAATAGCTGTTTGCAAGAAGTTTGTTCATTCAAAATGTTTTGCAATATGTATGGCTTCACATGTAGGCAACTGCTTGTATATCCACTGTTTTCATTTTCTTAAATCTTTATGCTAATACTAAATTTCAGAAAACGAATACTATAATAACTAATATCATTTTACTTTAGGCTGGTATGTACAAGAGAGAAAAAGCCTGGTATGAACGTGCATTGGAGGAAGCAAGCCAGCTACTTCCCTGCTCTGCTCACCAAAGGCTTGAAATGTGCTACTTGTCAAGAAATGGTAATCTTGCATGGTTTCCTGTTTGACTTTATACGCTAACTACGTTATACAAAATGAATGCCCTTGACTCATGCAGAAACTTATAATATTGTGATTGTGACTTTCTCCAGTGTTTCATATGTATTGGCTCTTGAAGCTATTTCACAAAAGGCTAATTCCCACATAGCCTATATTATGCACACAAAGGTTGTTTTCTCTCCAGTATATGTGTGTGTGTGTGTGTGTGTGTATGTATGTATTAAAAAGAACTTGGGCATATACTGGTAAATTCCACTTTTGTGATCAATATAATCACTTTCTACTTCCTACTCAACATATGTCTCTCAAAGGGGTGGCTGCATTGATTTCACAGCCCGATACAATGCTTATGAAATATTTTTCATCAGTGAAATGTCTGCAATTCCTGATACCTATTGCATCTGTAGGTGGCAACGCCCCGAAATCAATTCCAAACAATTCAATGCAATGTTTTCTTGTTATTTAATTTATTGGTTTACTTTACTTTTATCTTGCCTTTCTCGTGATATAGGGACTCAAGGAGGCTAACAATAAACAGAACTTGATAAAGTAATAAGAAACCAAAATAACTATGCTAGTGTTTTTATCATTCACTTGTTTATTTTTCTGATTTTACAATACTTTTAGGCAGAGTAAAGGATAATGAAACAAAAGCAAAGACTGGTACAATAACAAGGAGAATAATGGTAAGATTTAAATATATATTCATACAGTCTGTTGGCCATCAGAGTGCCTTTTAAAACATGTCTTCACTTGGTATTTTGTTAGCAGTAACGTTACTGTATGTTACAACTATTACATTTCATTTATGTAAAACACACATTTGTTTCAATATTGTTTAACAGATGTATGGATTTGGCCTTAGAATCTCAGTTCAGAATGAGAAAGAACACCTCATTATTTTAACATGTTAATATTTCTTGACATTTTACCTTGCATAACCTGAGGATCTTTAATTTTACTAATAGAAGTAGTCCCTCCAGGCATTACAGGCATAGTTATAGCTGTAACCAATTCATCACTTGTGGCCATGCTTTTGGCAAGAGCCTTTCTGTTCTTAGGTAGCCTGGTTTTCAGATGAGAGGTACATTCTGAGGCCATTGCATGGGAGAGCCTGCCAGAGCTTATATAATATATTTCCAGATAACATTAAGTTTCATCTTTTTCATCTGAATTTTATTTATTTCTGGTACTAGACATTGATTTAGAAGAATAGCTACCATGAATTTAAATGGAAAGCAAAGTTATTAATGGATGTTATCAGCATTCTGCTGGTAAAATACCTCACTGAACAACACCTCCAGCACATTCATGTATATTTTAAATATTATAGGGTACACCATAGGAATTGGTAGCCATGCTATCAAAGATGCGCCTACCAACATTACTTTGGAAATTGCTCCTCCAATAAAAAATGAATTTCTCAATGTGATAAGGTGCTTTGAGGAACCTGACTAGTTTCTGGTGCAGATTGTTCACCAAGCTGACCAAAAGAGTGTCTAGCCCATAACCAGGCATGGATCTAGCTGATTCCAAGCTTTGCCTGGATCTTAGCTACTTCCTAGATCCAAACCCACTTCTTGGAGCAGGCAGAGCAGATGGAGGCTAGCAGTGACTCCATTTCCCCCCGGAATCACATTGTTTACCCCTACAGTTGAGCAAGGCCATAGATGAAGCATGGCTTCTGCAGCCTCAGTTCAGGCCAAATGCACTGGCTCTCCTTGGCACATAGCTTCTATGTAACCACTGCTGCTACCCTCTCCATTGCCTCCTGCACCCCAAAGGGCACTCTGGCCTCTGCACAGATGCCTCTGGACAGAGAAAGGACAGCTGCAGCAGGGACGACAATGGTAAGCAGAAATAGCACTGCACACAAGTAAATCATAGCAGGTATATTGTACAAACCAGTGCAGAAACAAGCAAATTAGCTCATGATAGTGCCTTGGGGTGAAGAACATATAATGAATGCAGTTTGACACCATTTGAACTGCTGTGGCTTCATTCTGTGGAATCCTGGGAGTTGTAGTTTGATAAGACACTAAGCTTATCTGCTTGTGCACTGAAGATGCACCTTCAGTGTGCCCTTTTATCATCCATCATACCTCTAGGTTTTCTGATGGGCTTCTCCAGACTACAAACTATGCATGTCCCTAAAATAGTGCCCATTAGCTCATGATGGCAATGCTTGAGATTTCAAGTTGTGGCTGGAGGGTCATCTTGAGGCCCTGGGGCCTGATAGGAATGTCTATGGTGAATATAAACAAGGCGTCTTGGAGGAGCCAGAATGGGATGCTGAGAGACTGGAAGGACTGGTGAGGGAATTGGCAGTAGAGGAACTGGTGAGAGTGGCAGCCGATTTGGGCTGCCAAAAGCCTTTGGTGGGCCACAAGCAGCCCGTAGGCCATACATTGTGTAGGTGTGCTCCAGTAGAATAATAAAAGTGCTTCTTGTAATTTTCCTACTAGCATTAAGTGGATAAAACCAATTAAATATAGCAAATATTCAAGTTTAAACGGAATATGGTTTTTCACAGGTAAACACCTGTAGGAAACTCTGTGATGGCAGAACTAGAAGACAAAGAAAGTAAGTTTGAGATTGTATTAAATTGTTTCTATTGGTAGAATTGTTCAAGATCACCACATTTAGCTTGTTATGCCATAATATACTGTTAGGATGCTGTGGTTCCCATTAAACTTGGAAGAAATTTATTTTAATTTCTTAACATGGATACACATCATTCTTTTTTGATACTATAGAAAGTATATTTGGAAACATATGTATGTCCTAGCACCTTTCTTACATTATATGGTAACTATACATTATTTTGTTCATTTATTTACAAAACATGTTATTTATAATATGTGCTTAGGAAAATAATAGCATTTTCTAACATCAGCAGTGATTCCAATAAGAACAGCTAAAAGCTGTTATAGGGCTCTGCTCTACTTCTGGCTCTCAGGTGTCAGATAGATGACCTCTTAATGAATAAGAGGAGAAAGGTCTCTTATTTGAGGGATCACACACTTCACATCAGAAGGTGGATTAGACCTGTGAAGAAAAGCTCAAAATGAAGTAAAAGTGTCATATTCTAAAATACTCTTCACATATACCAACACTTCATCCTTCAGGAAGCTATTTTAAAATCATATTTCTCAAAATGTACAAGGAAACGCTTTAGTCACAAATGTTAAATAATACAACAAACACAGAAAAACACCAGTTGCAGGTGAAAGGGATTGCCCTGCAAAAACCTTGTAGTTCAAAACTTTGTAGCCTCTTTAAAAAAAATTCATATACACTTTAAGTACACAGGGTTAAAAAGATATATGAAAGATAGCTGTATATAAAGGGAGATTCCCCACTAGTGCCACTGTTTAGTCTGATACCTTGAAAGTATTTCCAAGGATAATGCAACCTTTTTAACCTTATCCTACTAATGACACAGGGATAAAAAAAATTGAATAATGGAAAAGAGAGATTGCTAACTTCATATGGGTAGGGAAAAAAGCAAGGATAGCGTACAGAAACCTAATTGATGATAAAAGAAGGGAGCTAAGTTTACCTGATCTAAGGACCTACTATGAGGCCCTAGCACTGTTCTGACTGAAAGAATTGATAAAACTAGAGAACAAGATTCTATTAGCTGTGGAAGGATATGAATTAATATTAGGCTGGCACACATATGTGTAGTATGATGGAGATAAACTGAACAAAAACTTTAATAAATATATAATTAGAGGGGGACTGCTAGATATTTGGAAAAAAGGCAGAAAAGGCATAGAACCGAAAAAACTCCCTTTGACTGAAGCTACTAGAAATGGTTGTAAGACCAACCCTAAGGGTAGAAACAAGAACATATAAAAATACCTTATTGGAGAAAATGAAAAGTGGAAATTGAAAAGGTGGGAAGAATTGGGGATTTATGACCAAAAAAGGGTGGGATTTGCAACCAAAAAATCAGAATTGGAAAGAATATGGGAAAAGGGAAACAAAGGGTTAATCTCCAGATTATACAAATGCATATTAAGATACAACATGGAGGATAACAGAGTCAAGACAGTAATGATATTCTGGGCCAAGGACCTAGGTAGACCAATAGAATTGGATAACAGGGAATTGGATAACCGGGATTCAAATTTACATTATCTGGATCAATTAGGGAGAATCTGTATAAAATGTTTTATAGATGCTATATCACTCTAGCAACATTGGCAAAAATAGATAAATCACAACAAGGTATTTGCTGGCAGTGTAGGAAACAGAAAGGGACATTCTTTTATATGTGATGGGCCTGTGAGACCATTCAAGTATATTGGGATATGGCAATGGTTCCCAACACTTTTTGACCAGGTGACTACTTTGACCAGGGACCACTTTCCAACTTTAATACCAAAAGGGTTACGAATCAGTTTTTGATCAATTTTAGATTTGTTTTGGTTATTTGGGGCGCTGATTCAGAAAATTGTATTGGATAGACCACATCAGCTCCAGTTACTTATAGAGCCCCCGGTGGTGCAGTGGGTTAAGCCCCTGTGCCAGCAGGACTGAAGACAGGATGCAGGTTCGAATCCGGGGAGAGTGCGGATGAGCTCCCTCTATCAGCTCCAACTCCTCATGCGGGGACATGAGAGAAGCTTCCCACAAGGATGATAAAACATCAAAACATCTTGGCGTACCCTGGGTAACGTCCTTGCAGACAGCCAATTCTCTCACACCAGAAGTGACTTGCAGTTTCTCAAGTCACTCCTGACATGACAAAAAAAATTACCTTATAGAGAACATATGCCATCCAATAGTCACCCACAGAAAACCATATTTAATAATCTAGAGCTGATGTGGTCTATCCAATGTAATTTTTTAAATCAGCACCCCAAATAACCCTAGGAAAAATCCTAAAAATGAAGACACCAAGGTGCTCCCACTTCCAGGCATCACATGGAACAGCTCCGCTCTGGGGGAGGGAGGAGGGGGAGAAGCAGCAGTCAGGAGGCTTGTTGTTGCACCTTTCATAGGTATTGGCCTCTCCCCTCCTGACATCCTTGTTGCCTTGGCATTATAAAAGGGTTTGGCGAGACCAGTTGCTCTTGTTGCAATGGTGTAGTAACAATGAGGCTGCGGACCATATTTTAGTTCTTGTGGACTACAGTTGGTGCACGGACAACAGGTTGGGAACCACTGGGATAAGGTAACTAAGGAGACAAATAAAATGTTACATAATAAGATTTAAATTCCCAGGGTAGTGTCTATTAGGTTTACATAGAGAAAACAATAATCAAAAGGACAAAGAAATATACCAATATAGCTTTGCTGCTGTAAGATTAACCATAGTCAAAGAATGGAAAGGGGAAAAAGTTTAACTAAAAAGGATTGGAGGGAAAGAATGCAGGAATATATGCTAATAGCCAAATTAACTAATATAAGGAGGAACAAAAGTAATGGGGACTTTTTGGAAAAGTGGAAGTTGACCATGGCATATCTAAGTCACTGACATAGGGGAGTACCATTAGGAATTTAGGATTACTATGAGTAAGGATAGATAAGTTGGCTTAATAGTGCTTCGTTGTTGGAAGTCATGATGAAGAGTACACAGGTGTGAGGAAGAGGTTTTATTTTGTGTGGGGTAGGGGTTTCAGGTGTGTGTATGGTCAATAATATGTCATGTTGTTTAAATGTTATGGTAAACTCTTATATTAATAAAAATTAAATCACAAAATTATCTTATCCTAATTGCACAGTCTTATCTACACAAGGTGCAAAAGGACTCCACCTTTAGCTGATGTGTTTAGATAACTGTTGTCCACATACACATATTCTTGGGACCCTCTGTACCATGACCCTCTTAGGCCTACTTGACTATGCTTTATCAGTTGTTTATGGAAAGATTTGGTGATAAATGCATGCTTAATGAAGTAAACTGGTGATTTCATCATTTCAGAAAATATTACTCCTTTTTACTTTCTTCCTGATTAGTGTCTTTGTAGTTGCATTTTTCTTACCCTATGTTCTTATTAAGGGCAAATCAAATGGATATAATGCCTCCAAAATTAATAAAATGATTGAAGTTATACTTACAAATATGAACAAATACAATTTGAATTATAAGACACTTTCCACAAACATCTGTAAACCGTTTTCCTTTGGAAAAGTAGGAAATGGAGGGATAAATTTGTGCACAGAGTGTTACAGTTTGGATTATAGGATAGGATGGTGCCATTTTTGGAATAGAACCATTAAAACCAGTGATGAAACATTATGCTGTGGTGATATAATTCAGCCTGTTCTCATAATGAACCATTCAGGATTCAATCTTTTATCTTTTTTGTGATTAATTAACCATTATTCATTAGCATTTCACAACAAATACTTTAATGATCTCTCAATTTTTAAAGGAAAAGAATGCTGACATGCTCAGTTGACACAGCAGACCCAGAAGATATCCTGTCAACAGAAAATCTAGGTTTGTATAAAATGAACATGTATTTCTCATCAGGACCTTCAAATTTTAAAGGAACTTTTTATTATCTAGGATACAGAGCATTATTTTCTACTTCCAATAGAACATAACGTCTTTCTGAAAAATAATACTGTATTTCACCGAATCTAAGGCCCCATTGAAGCATGCCCCACTTTTGGAGCTTCAATTTAGGAAAAAGAATGTCATCCTTTTTTTTTTGTTTCAGTGCAGCTTTGTAGTGGGCACTTTCCTGTGGGCAGGCATGTAGCCGGGGGGGGGGGGGGGGGGGGGGGGGGGGGGGGGGGGGGGGGGGGGGGGGGGGGGGGCTTGAGGGGCTTCAGCCCCCCCCCCCCAAATTCTCATGGTGGTCCACGAAAAGGCCTTACTGGTACATTATTTAAACTGTTATGTTTATTCATATCATGATCTGATCACCATGCTTAATATATCCCATATGCATGGGGGTATTGGGGTAACGATACAAAAGGTTTGCTAGGGTAGACCCTCTTTCACTCAGATTCAGCCCCCCCCCCCCCACCGAATCAAACTCAGCCCCCGCCCCCCCTTGCCCGAATCAAAATCCTGGCTACGGGCCTGCCTGTGGGGTTAGGAGAGAGTGTGAAGAAAGTCATAAGTCATCCATCTACATCAGTCTATTTTATTAAGTCTATGGGCCCATTGGGGAAGCAGTGAAAGGAGGAAGCCATGTTTAGCTAAAATATTGGTAAACAGCATCTGCTTCAGGATGAGGAGAAAATGGTGGGAACATGGCAGAGTCATTGGGGTCCTTCCTCCTTCTCCTCTCTCTTGAAGGTAAGACAGTTTTGAAAACAAAAAACGGCAAATCTAAGGTGCCATTAACTCTAAAGCACATCCCCTTTTTGAAACCCATTAAATGGAGAAAAAGTGCACTTTTGATTCAATGAAATATGGTAGTATGTTGTTAACCAAGTCTATACAGAAATCAATTGTGTGTTGTAGGAGACCGTCAAATGTCAGCATTGTTTACAAGGTATTCAAAATATTTGTGAGACTACAACATGAATCTGATGCACATTTACCTAACATTACTTACTGTATATATGCATGTATAAGTTGACCTCATGTATAAATCGAGAGCAGGTTTTGGGATAGAAATTATGGATATTGACAGGATCCGTGAATAAGTTGTGGTTCATTCTTCAGAGAGGAAAAAGCACCAATGCCACTTCAGGGGTCAGCCACCCATGGCCAGCACTGCCATTTCCCTACCCAAGCATTCAGAAAGTCCAGAAGTAGTGCAACAGTAGAGAAAATAAAAGAGATGAGTGTTGGAGTTCAACCACATTCTGTCCAAGCCTATAGTCTTCATCAAGGAAATAGATACGCATCAAACAAGGACAGGCTAGGGGAAATCTTCCCCATTATCCTTCCTGAATGTCTTTGCTCTGTCTATCTTTCTCACTCTTTGTTCCCTCACCTCATCTCATTGATGACACAGACTAATATTTCTCCCCCAAGACCTTGTGGCCAGTTATCTCTGGTTCCTCCTCTCTAAGGCTTTGTGTGAGAGTACAAAAGCAGAATGTCAATGCAGTTTTTGAGACTTTTGTTTGATATTAGATGGAGTTGGAGATTAAACCAAATTTCTATTTAGAGTTAGTTAGTCTAGACCTCAACTTTTCTATCTAGAAAATGTAGTTCTTTATAGTTTTAATAAACCATTTGAAACTTTAAGGTGAACTCTGTTGCTCATTATTGCTTACACTCAAGAATCCTTCAGCCACACATTGTTTCCGGTTGTGTGAGTAAGCTTACTTACTTACTTACTTAGGCGATCCCTCATTGTCCGAGTAAGATTGTCCCCCAAGGTCGGTGTACTGGTGGTGCATGTTCTCTCGCAGTGAGGGCATCAGTTTCCAGGTGGAAGGCAGTCCCAGTCAGGGTTGGCTTGATGCACCTTCTTCTTGGTACATTTCTCTCTTTTGCCCTCCATTTGTGCTTCTTCAAATTGCACAGCACTGCTGGCCACAGCTGACCTTCAGCTGGAGCGCTCAAGGGCCAGGGCTTCCCAATTCTCTGTGTCTATGAGTGAGTTACTCCACTGTGTGCTTTTGTCTTTTAGATGCTTGTTATTTGGGGGAAAATTCTATATCAATTCTTCTTTTAGATTCTCTTGGGACAGACTATGGGGTTTTGCCTTTCACTATACTACTCAGAGAAGGAAAACGTTCCTTTTTTGATAAAAGTTAAGATACAATAGTCCCATTGACCCATGATAAATTAAACCAGATTTTTAGATTGACTTTTTGACTAAAATTTCTAGACTTATACATGAGTATATAGGATAAGTGCAACAAAATCCAATTATATTTGCTTCCAATCCCAGTAGAATGGGACTAAATGAGTTTTGTTATAATATATTGACTTATTAATTTTCAGAAGACTAAAGCATGATTAATTTAGGATACAACCCACTTTAGATTTCCAACCAGTTATTAACTGTCTAATGATGTCATATCAAAATGGAATGAATTTTCCATGTAAACATTCGCAAGTTCTGGAGAACTTGGAAATGTGTGTCCTTTTTCTCATTTTAATTAATTCTAATAAAGATATTGACAAAGTATTTATTTATTTATTTTAGCAATAGAGAGGAACAAGTTGGAATAAATTAGTATGCTGTTATTTATCCCAAGTCCTTGGAGGGACCACTGTTTCCATTTAGTGACATGATAAAGCCATACATTATAAAATCAGTAGCGGGGTGGTGGTGATGGTGGTTGTTTCTTTGTTTTTATTTATATCCTGCCTTTCTCCCAGCTTGGGATTCAAGGCAACATGTTGGCCTGTGCCGCATACTAATTAAAAATCTTTTATTAATGTTTGTAAGTTGTTGCACTATAAAATAAGATTCTTGGTGGGATGCTTGTAGTCACTGTGTTGCTTAGGATTTTTTTTAGAAAAAGGATTTCAGATTGAAATAGCTTTTTATAAGATGCAGAGTGCTTCCTAATATCTTGGGTGAAATTAGGAGGTGTGAAATAGTTGTTCCTGAGCAGTGATTAGTAAATTGCTAATATGCAAGGCATGCATTTACTACCTGCTGAACTGCAACATCTCAAATCAGGTCAAAGGATGAGGTTGTTGGAAGGGAAGATGAAGGAAATGAATTAAATAGCCCCTTTATTTGCTGTTGTATCATTTGGGACTCCTATAATTCTGTGTTTAATTGGTGAGAGCCAGCAGACTATATTTGGCACAGGGAAGCTGTAAACCAGTTCACTGACTAAATTCCTGCTTAAATTCCTGTTCCAAGATTAAATCTCACTTTGTTTACATTTCTTTCACTGGCAACCCGACCAAACAGCACCTAACGTTCTCTGAGTTATTGCAAATTCAAGCCGTTGCATTGCCATTTGGTTTCATTTTATTGTACAATTCTTGCCTATGTATCTGTGGGATTTCATACCCATGCAGTTGAGCAGTTGAGGAATTTCCATACGATTACAGCTGTCACCAACAATGCATACATACAGATAACAGCAACTATTGCTGGTGCAGAGCATACTCTAAAATGGATACAAGGTTACTTTCTTTAAATGGAACACATATAATTGTATTTCTTCTACCTATTCTATTCAGTTCAGCATCAAGGATGAGATATTTGTAATTCTCCACACTGCAATTTTTTTTTTTAAAAAAAAAGAAGTATGTAAGTGGCAGAGATAAAAGGGAAGAAAGGATATACAAGCGGAAGGATAGCCAGCAGTAACATTTCCCTGATGGTTTGCAGATAATAGCAAACTGAAAATGATTCAACCATTCTATTTTGTAGCACACTGATACAATGCCGTTTCAGGTTGTATTATGATCAGTGTCACCAAGCAGCCACAGAATGTAAAAGGATAGTTCGCTATCCAGGTTCACCTTAAAGTACGGATTGAAAACACCGTTGGCTTTCTTGAGTTACACAGTTCATATAGGATACTGGCAATTGGAAATAGGAAATGACCTGAGAGGGAAGTTGTGGTATATAGATAAAGTTCTACACATAAATATCTATTTGTTCCATTCTAGGGAAAACATCACAACTTTAATAGCTTCTTAATAACAAGATGCACTGGGATGAAATCAGGATCATGTGATGTAAATAAATACCAGTCCAAAGCTATAGAAATAATAAAGTTTAGTGATCATAGTTTTAGAAACTTCAATCAACATCTAAAAGATAATATCCTCTATGCAAACCAGCGCAATCTCCTATGGCATTTGTTCAGGCTCATATTTATGTAGTCTCAATAAGACTGGATCCAAATCAGGATGTTCCCACAAACCTGTTGTAGAACAGTATGTGTTCATGGTCAAGGCTGTAGCCGGGGGAGGGGGGGGTTAAGGTTCAGCCCCCCCAATTTTTCAGGTTAAAAACCCCCCGGTTTACTCATTAATTCTAACTGGTTAATCAAATCCTCATGCTAACACTATGAGAAGCAAACATTAAATTGATTTAATTAACTCTGTATAAAATACAGACTGAACCATACTATTTAAATTATTTTGTGTTATGTAACTACTCTTCGCGATTCACTAAACAAAATTTTCAAAACCTCCCCCCACACTCCCGGAATTTTTTTCTGGCTACGGCACTGTGCATGGTAGATATTTTCATAATTCTACGTCATGAAAGAGTGAAAAACTATGTCATAGAGAATTTTTGAGGATACTCTACTTTCAAGTCAGCTTGAAACTGATACATGTCAGTCATCATATGAGTTTCTGTGGTTTTCCACTCCATCATTTTGTTGAGGAGTGTTCTTAAAATATTGTGCAAAGCATTTACTTAATACTCTGACAGCCATGTTTGCAATAACAGCAAGAGGCTGTTGTAAATTGAATGTTTCCTGCTGTCCTACTTCCTTCCCAACCACAGTAGGGAGGGTATTAGTTAACATTAAAGTAGATAGAAGTAACTGCTGACTACATGTATTAAAGCTCAGTTTGCAACCTTTACTTACAGCGTTTAT